GTGATGCGGTACCTGGTGTGGAGCCTCATCTCTGGCCTTCGCTATTTGAGCACAAGTTCCTGCCCTACGCGCTGCTGGCCTTCGCTGGAATCATGTACCTTCCTGCTTTGGGCTGGGAGTTCCTTGCCTCTACACGGCTCACTTCAGAGCTCAATTTCCTGCTTCAAGAGATTGATAACTGCTATCATCGAGCTGCTGAGGGCCGAGCCCCAAAGATTGAGAAGCAGATCCAATCCAAAGGACCTGGCATAACTGAGCGAGAGAGGAGGGAGATTATAGAGAATGCAGAGAAGGAGAAGAGCCCTGAGCAGAACCTGTTTGAGAAATACTTAGAGAGGCGAGGCCAGAGTAATTTTCTGGCCAAAATTTACCTGGCACGGCACCTGGCTATTATCTGCCTCAGTTCCATCCCCATTTCCTACCTGAGCGCCTACTATTCTCGCCAAAGACAGAATGAGTTTACCTGTGCACTGGGTGAGCCCCCAGACATTAGCAGCTATCCAGAGCTTAGGCTCAGGGTTAACTGTAAGCTGCCTGCTGTGCAGCTGCAGCGCATCATGGCAACAGTAGATATAGCTTTGCTGTGCACCATGAACCTCATTATCCTGGTTAATTTGCTGCATTTATTTGTGGTGCGCAAGTCCAACTTTGTTTTTGACAAACTGCATAAAGTTGGTATTAAAACACGGCGACGATGGCAGAAGTCTCAGTTCTGTGATATCAACATCCTGGCCATGTTCTGCAATGAGAACAGGGACCACATCAAGTCGCTCAACCGGTTGGACTTTATCACTAATGAGAGTGACCTCATGTATGACAATGTGGTCAGGCAGCTGTTGGCTGCGCTTGCACAGTCCAACCATGATATTACACCAACTGTGAGGGACTCTGGGATACAAACATTAGATCCCAATATGGACCCCTCTGATCTCAGAGTGGGAGAGATGGGTGGGGAACCGCTGGTCATAAAACGGCCCCGCAAGAAGATTAAATGGATCCCAAGCTCAAATCCTCTTCCTCAGCCATTCAAGGTAAGACCAAGAACAATTCCAATCTTGTAACTCGTGACTGCAAAAACAAATTTTGTATGGGACTGACTTCTAGAAAAAATAATACTACAATAAGCAGAGCAGTTTATTTTATCCTGGACTAATACAGTGGATATAAAAAGTCTACACACCCCTGTTAAAATGCCAGGTTTCTGTGAAAAAAAACGAGACCAAGATAAATAATTCCAGAACTTTAGCCACCTTTAATGTGACCTATAACTTGTACAACTCAATTGAAAACAAACTGAAATCTGTTTTTCAGTGGGAAGTAAAAATAAAAAAACTAAAATAATGTGGTTGCATTAGTGTGCACACCCT